GCCTGAGCCTAATCGTGTAAGTGAAGCATTTGCTGGAATAACCGCACGAAGTTTTCCTAATGCGGCGCGGAACGCCGCCCACATTCCGAGAACCTGTCAATAGGCCCTGAAGGTACACTAAAGTTGCATGGAAGGGGGCCTTAAAAGGGGCGCAAAAGGGGTCGTTTACGAGTCAGTCTTGCAATGGCATGGGCTATGCTCTCGTTGCTTTTTGGTAGAGCTTTTTTCTTTCGACTGCGCCCGCCCACCTCCCGACAACTCTTCTCGGTTAGACCGGATCGGCCCTTGGCTGTGGTATTTCGATTCCCAGATACTCAACTTCATCGGGTGGTCAAAGGCGAGTGTCTCAAGCTTCGCTTGCAGAAAACTTGACATTGTTCAAACCCACTCGTCGTACGATCCTTCGGGTTGCTAACTAACTCCTACGTCATCATAGTTTATAAGGCAAACTTGCCCTGAAATTGCCGCAGTGGAAGACCGACACATCCCACTTGACCTTGGAAGTGAAGAGCCAAAGCCCAACAGCATCTCATCCCAAGATGTGACTGATCTATACCTTTTTGCGTTATCGGCCCTCAAAGCCTCTTCGCCATTTCAATGACCGGTATGGATTCGGCTAATCAGAAATCGGATCAGTGCGGTCGATGAGCTCGAATCTTCGGCTTGTTGAGTCAGCGGCGCAGCCTGTGCCTTGCTTCCGTTGCCCGGCCCGGCACGGAGGGTCCCCGTCGCAAATTGATGGCCGGCTTTCATCGTCGGATCGCCGGATTATCGCGATCCACCTTAGGTCCATACATACATGAGAAACTCAGACGGTCTTCAACCTTGAATCATCTAAGAGGCTCGGCCTCCGGTTCCACCAAGTCGGCCGTTTCTGTGTATATCTCTCTCATATCTTGGTGCTTTGCCTCTCTCTAGTCCATGTCCTCTGTAATGCTCCAACTTGCAGACATGGGATCCTTCCCAATGTCATAATCGTCGAGAAAGATGCCCAGTCCTAGCTCTCGGCCGAAGACCACCAAAATGGTCAACACAATAGGATACCAGTGATGACCGTACGCTTTTTAAAGTGTATTATGAGGAGTAGAAAGCTTTGGTTGTGATAGTGGTAGTAGCTGTGAATAGGAACAATAGAAACAGAGCGAAGGTATTGAGCGGCAACTGTTGTGTCACCATTTTAGCCAGTCTTGCCTTGGAGCAAGTAGAGAGGCAGCAAATGGACTTTTCAATTGCGGGCAATGATTTGCAGGCTCAAACAATATTAGACATAGACATCAAAGCCAGCCTTACTTGAGGTTTACTATTGATAGCGCTTGTATTTGTTTGCCGTCCAGGCGCTTGGTTATGAGGTCCTGTACTGATCACATAAAATTATTCTTGCGAGATGAACAATAGGATAAAGTGATTAAGTACGTCAATGATCGAAAAGGCTACAGGTATCAGTCTATGACATGGCTTTACATATATCTCAACTCCAATGGGTATCACTCAGCCAGCAGCGTACTGACTCTTCTTCCTCAACCTCGGTCCAAACTTCCAAAGCAACAGCGGGCCAGGCCACCCGATAACAACACCCAACAGCGCAAGCAGCGTGTTACCCCAGCCATAATCCAACTTGTTGTACAAACTCGGCGCAAACAAGGGGAACCCGAACCCAGCCAAACTTCTCAATACCGTCGCCGCCGCGACGGCACTAGCAGCATACCGCGTGTACGTATCTACCAGGAAGCCCTGAATGCACTGGAACCCGATAATCACGCCGGCGCTGAACAGCGTCGCGCCAATATTGGGCCAGATCCAGTGCGTGTGGTACTGCGACGTCCAGCCGTAGATGATGAGACCCATCGGCACGAGCACAGCGCCGGGAATCATCATCGGCACGCGGAACTCGGGGCGTCCCGGTCCGCCGTCGGGAACGTAGCGGCGCTTGAGGGCGGCGTAAATGCGGTCCTGGAGCGGGGCACACGTTTGCGCGCCGATGAAGAAGCCGAGACCGAGGGAGATGTAGTTGAGGCCGCTGATGCCGACGGATTCGCCGTACTCGCCCGTCCAGAGGGTGGGGAAGGTCGAGAGCACGAGGTACATGAGCCCGTAGAGGTACATCATGTAAAGGGCGAGACACTGGACCAGAGGCTGCGTGCCGAGAAGGCGGAAGGGCCGGGTGAAGGCGATGCCGAGGGTTCGCGTGATGGTGCGGTCCGGGTGGTCAAAGTCGGTGTGCAGCGCCGTGTTGCCCGTCTCCTTGATGAGGCGCTTCTTCCTCCGCGTGAGGAGCACCGGCGCGAAGGTCTCCTGCAGGACGAAGAAGCCGATGGACTGGATGACGGCCGTGAGGATGGTGGTGCTGTAGAAGATCCAGCGCCACGTCGTATTCTGGGTGATGAAGCCGCCGGCGATGGGGCCGATGGCCGGGCCCAGGAGCGGCATGAGAGAGTAGATGCTAATTGCCTTGCCACGCTGTTCAGCTTCGAATAAGTCGCCTAGGACGCCGCCACCGATAGCTAGGGGTGCTGAGCCGCCGAGGCCTGCAAGGAAGCGGAAGGCGATCATCTGGCTCTTTGTCTGGGCGAGACCGCATCCGAGGTTGAAGAACATGTAGAAGAGGTTCGTGAGCTGGAGGACGATGACACGGCCGTAGAGCTCTGACAAAGGACCCCATGCTAGCGGTCCTACGGCGTAGGCGAGAACGAAGATGGACAGGGCGAGGGCCTTCTCGAAGGAACTCGTGATGTTGAGGTCGGATCCGATGGCCTCCAGAGCGGGTGCAACCATGGATGAGGAGACTGGCGAGAGCAGTGTGAAGCATGATACTGTACACTTGTTAGTAGTCGTTAGGTTAGCGACTAGGAACTTAGCTTACTGCAAAAGACTGCGGCCCATTTCCTCTTCATGGACCATTGCTTTGGGTTTCCAGGGTCGTTCGGACCATCCCATGTCACGAGGTTCGGGTCTCGAGCGGTTCTCGTCGTCGGGGTCTTCTCGAGATCGAGTTCTTCGCCGCGTTCCAAGTCTCGTCTGTTCTCGATACCATCTCTTACTTCAGACACCGTCCTCGATAGGGATCTTGACCTCGAGCTCCGTACGCCGTGGAGGACGCTTGCGCTGTGTTCTGAGTTGCTGTCGCTGTCGTCTGATGATGACGAGTGCCGTGAAGAGCCTGTCTGCTTTTCCTCAACTTGCTTCTCAGACGCTGCGGTGATGTGCCTCTCGACCTGCTGTCTCAGCGTCGTGCGCTGGGGGTTTGCGGATCGATCCTCCTCATCGTATGAGCCTTGTTGGATTGAGTGTGGCGAGTTGCTTGAGTCCGCCATCTCCTTGATAAGTTATGTGAATGCTATAGCTACACTGGCTTCTGTGAGCATGCCAGGCCAGTCACCTTGGCGTGGATTGAATACTGTTATGAGAGAAAGATTCAATGACGTATGTAAGTGAGTAGTAGTAGCAGTAGTGGTTATTAGTAGGTGAGGTAGTGTAGAAGTAAATAACAAAGAGGCTCAACTCGAAGCAAACCAGTTCCAGACGACCGGAAACACGCCCCAATTAAATAAAAAGCAGAACAGCTGCCAGCATCAGAAAGGAGGGCAAAGGAATGAATCATTGGCATTAAAATCTCTTAACACCGGGGACGCCCTAACGTGTTCCCCAGAAGGCGGCCCGCCGCACATCGCTTCTCCATCGGCGCGTGCCCGCACTTGCGGCTTCGGGAAGGTGGTCGTTCTGCCGGGCATGCTTATTAGCTTCGTTTTATCCAATGACGTCCGTCGGCAGGTCAGCATAAGATATGTGTGACTACTAGCAGCCCAAGAGACCGCAGGCACACAGCTCAACTCAACGGCCGAGAGATGCGTTGGGGGCGAGAGCCGTCTCCTTGTGCCCCATGACGCCGTTTGAAGCGGCACTAGGCACAGATATCCCCGAGGTCTGAAGGCTGAATGGACTCAGCCGCTTCCATTCTCTCTTGTTTTTCGGGTACCTGGACCCAGCTGTCTTTGCTCCCGGTGGGCGTGTAGAATTTTTTGGCATTGAAACCAGGTAAAACTGGGTGCATCAGTTAGTCAAGTTACTCAAAGCGGATATAGAGAACCACAAACGCCGTGGTCTAAGTGGGCGCAACGTAAAGAAAACTGACTAGGAGCTGACAAGATGTGAGTCCGGATTTTGCCTCCGCCTCCGTAATCCATTCGTCTGGACGTCTCTTTGGTGAGGTTCGGAGCTTGGAGAGGCCCCAGCACGGCACACGGTGCCGAATCGGCAGCGATCCAGGGTCGCTGACGTTCGGATGACCGCTCTTGTTGGCTGGTATGGGTTTACGATGGAGCTAACCATCTCCACACGCGTCCTGCTTGTCGGCTTCGGCTGTCACAGCGTGCAACCTTTTCGGCGTCAGGACTGTGACGGCGAAGATACTCGGGCGCCTCAGATTTTTGCGGTCTCGGCCATTGTCCGTAACCTATGCATAGATACGGAAACCCTGAGTAGCTGCACAGGGTAGAATGTTGATCCCTTCAAAAACAACTAGTCCTCCGGCTGTAACTAGACGATGTGAGAGTGCATTGCTGGCATTGCAGTAGCTACCTTACCGTCTTGGCCAAGCTATACCGCAGCACGAGCAGGTGATCGCCCCAGCATGGCGCTCACTGATTAGATCGGTCCGATAAAGGCAATAGTTGTTCAAAGTGGTCAGAAATATTTTGATTGAACTAGATTGTGTCTCAACAGAGAACTGCACATCTGCTGGTGAGTAGGTCCATTCTTGCAGTTGCATTGTTGCAGACAAGAGACACTGCCGAGTAAGGTCACATGCTCATGCTATTCGTAACAACCAGACCTCTAAACCAGTAATACCTTAAGTCAAGTCCCATGAACGCCATAGACCGTGTGCCTCGTTTATCAACGGGCAGGAGAGCCAAAAAATCGAGTCCGATAAAAGTTGCTTTTGGAAGTGGTATCTTGTTTCAGAGGAATCCGAGGTGTAATGAGGGGGCTTCCATCTCATTACCCTATGCGGCGACGTCGGTCTTGGTGTCGACCTTCTTCGCTTCAGGCTGGGCGGCGCCGTCCTCCTCGCGTCCGCGCTTGCCGTTGCTGTTCTTGTCTTCCGCGACGGCCTCACCGTTGCCGTTCGTAGCCTGGATGGTAGGCTTGCCACTGTGAGACTGGTCAGTACTGCTGTTTCTTTTGTGCAGATGCGGTGATACATACGCGTTGCGGTCGTTGGTGACCTCGTTGGGATCCCTACGGTTCTCTCGGTTGTCACGTCCACCACGGCCACCACGGCGGTCACCACCACGGCCACGGCCGCGTCCACCGCGTCCGCCCCTGCCACCCCTGAAGCCGTTCTTCTGGTCGTGGTCGCGGCGCTGCTTCCAGTCGTCGTTTCCAAAGTTACCGCCACGGCCACCTCTGCCGCGACCACCGCGGCCACCGCGGCTATCACCCTCCTTGCCCTCGAAGAATCGGCGGGAGGTGTTGGGCTCGAGCTTGCCGGCGAGGATGAGAGCGGACTTCTCCTTCACGTAGTCAATCTTGGGCATCATCTTCAGGTCGTGTTCCTTCCACTTGGGCTTGGGGTCCAGAGCGAGGAACTTCTGAGCCGCCTCCTCGTCGGGGAACTCGACAAAGACGGAGCCCTTGAAGAGCTTCTCGTTGGTGCGGCGGAGACGAACGGAGTTGATGGGTCCATACTGCTGGAAGAAGGACTCGAGGTCGAATTGGGTAGTAGGCTCCTCATCTCCGAATCCCTTGACGTAGACGCAGCGGGCGTTGAACTTGTCGTTACCAGAGGTGTAAGCCTGCTTGCGCTGGATAGTCTCCTCGCCCTCCTCGCCAGCAATGTCGACCTGCGTGCTCTCCTTCAACGCAGCGACGACAGCAGAGTAGGGCTGGAAGCGGCGCATGCGCTTGAAGTTGGTGATGGTCTTAAGGGGGATAGGCTTGTTGTCGAATCCTCCAACAAGCTCCCACAAGAACTTGTCGTGGGGAAGGTTGCTGTCCGACAGGTAGAACTCGACCTTTAGTCAATCACGTTAGTCAATCGGTCAGTTGGAGCGCCTCAGATTGGGGCGTCTTACCTGCTTGCGGATCTCAACAGGATCGTCTGTCTCCTTGAGGAGAGAGGGGTCAAACTTGACATTGTTGGCGTGGGTCTTCTGGTCGATCTGGGCGGTCGTTTTGATGATGTCGGCCTCCTTTGCCTCGGACTCGGCGGGCTTGATCTCGGGCTTCTCCTCGGCCGTAGCAGTCTCCTGAACCTGTGCAGGCTCCTCGACCGTGACGGGCGCCTCGGCGGCAACAGCCTCGATGGGCTTGGTCTCCTCGGCGGCGCTCATCGTAGGGCGAGTCGGGTTGTGAATTGGGAAGTATTGGATGGTCTGTAAAGTAAGAATGTGGTCAATGATAGGTTCTTGATCGCAATTAGATGTTGATTGTTGCGCGACAAAGGTGAGTAACACAACGCCGGCCTCGGGAAGAAGTCAAGGTCGGCAGTATTTATTATGTGGCGGGGTAAGGTAGGCAACCACAAAGAGTCAGAGGGGAAAGTGAGTAATCCGGAGAAAGCTTACATTGTAAAAATCAGTCAATGCAATTCGACAACTGTATTATGGGCTGAGAGTTCTTCGTGAAGTGTGTCTTGCCTCTCAGAATTTAGACAGGAAACGGAGAAAGGCGATAGTTCTTGGTCAAGCGGGAATGGCAGAAAAAAAAAAGTCCCCCGTTTCTCCAGTGGTGAGGATTTTGCGACCAGAATTCGCATGCACGAGCGAGAGCTCCAGTTTCTGCCGCGGCGGCTTGCGCGCAATTGAGGCTCACCGCCCGCAGCTCGACTCCACTTGTCGAGGTGGGGAGATTGAAAAAATCAACCACACGGGTGGCTGCGAATGCGACATAGGTACGGGAGGCTGGGTACGTACTGCGATAACCCCAGTCCTCATAAAGCCTCGAAAAACTACGAACTTAGGTAAGCAATATTTTCCTACCTATCTTCGCACGTGACGACGTGACAGCTCTCACAGGAGGTCAGAAGGAGTACGTACCGACAACCGGGACATGCCGTTCCATAACCAAAATTTCCGTCTCTGCGTCGTCGTATCGTGCTCCTGAAGCTGTCGCTATCCCTCCAGCTCCAAGTTCGCGACCAGCCAGCCCCAATTAGCCCAAGATGAGAGGTAGAAAGCCAAGGTGGTATAACTTGGCGAAGCCAGTAAGCTATCCCTCCATTCTTTTCCATTGAGCCTCGGCGTCAATCGCATTCTGCTTTTCCCCTGAAATCGCCCTGGGCAACTTTCATCGCATGACGTTGAAACCAACTATGGATGGACTGAAGCTAACCATCACCACCTTTTCTCCTCGAATAGAAGATTCGTCAGTCATGGAATAAGTACAATCTTTTCAACCTCGCCACATTCAAGTTGAAACGAAACCGAACCTCGAGAACCTTCTTCCAGCAGAAATGGACAGCCAAGTCAATGACCCGTGGCTACCACGGCGCCCACGTCAAGGAGGCGGAATGGTCACGCAACTTCTCCCGCCGCCTCTTCTCCGCCGTCGATATGCCGCCTGAGTACCTCGCCAAGCACGACGGATCAGAGCACTCGGCCGGCCGCGGTTCCGGTCTGCACGCCGAGCCGGGGTCAGAGGACCTCACGCCAACCGCATACCATTTCTCTAAGCTCGAAGAAGCCAGGCAACGGAGAGAAGCTGACAACAGATTTGCAAGAGTCAAAGCTGATCCTCAGACCGAGATGCTTGCCCGTCCCGTCCGGGAAATGACGCCCTACATGCAAATGGCTTTCGCCCCCCTCGAGCGGAGGCTGGACGTTGCCATCTTCCGCGCAATGTTCGCCAGCAGTACGCTCCAGGCAAAACAGTTCTGCACACACGGCGCCGTCAAGGTCAACGGCAAAGTCGTGAGTGATCCCATGTCTTCCCAGCCCATATACACAAGATCCAACCATCGGTATACGGCAGACACCTAATCCATCCGTTTCTAGATGCGCTACGGTGCCTACAAGCTCAACCCCGGCGACATGTTCCAGGTCGATGTCGACAATGTTCTCTTCGCTACCGGCCGGGCCAAGACCCCCAATCACGCACTCTGGCTCGCTGGCAAAGACTATCAATCCCTGAACGACGCCGGCAAACCCAACAAATCCGCGGCTAAAGAGGGCGCGTCAGAACAGGAATCTGGCGACGCAGCACTCGAGGCTGCCGAAGTCGATGCCGCCGTCGAAGAAGTTGACGCCGCCGCAGAAAGCGGCGAGGCCGCCACCGAAGCAGCACAAGCAGCGGCCGATGGGGAGGAGGGAAGCCAGCTCTCTGAGGAAGAAAAGTCCAAGCAGCTCCAAAAGCAGCTCAAGTCGCTTGTCCGCTCAGTCAAGACCTTCCTCAGCGACAAAGACGGCCTCAAACCCAGCAAGAAGCGCCAGCTTCGCACCTTCATGGCCGAAGCCAAGCGCGTCCTCTCCACCTCGGGCCGCGTGACAGACGACGCCGTCGCCACACTCGACCACGAGGGCGTGATGAACAACCTCACCGCCCTGCTCAAGGACTTCAAGCTCGAGGGCAACAAGGTCGAGGCTGTCGCCTCCCCGGAAGCAGAGGGTCAGGAACAAGCGGCCGACCACTCCAAGCCGACGAGCGCCAAAGAAAAGGCAGAGACCGAGGCGGTCACGGACCTTATCTCCTCAAAGGACGTCCGCAACGCGCTCAGCGGCCTCAGCAAGGCCGAGCAGAGCGCCTTTGCCGAGCTTCTGCGCAAGCATGCCGAGAACCCCATTGACGAGTCTAAGCCCTACTGGACCCCCTGGCAGCCGCGCCGCTACATGTCGCCCTTTGCCTTCATCCCGCGCTACCTCGAGGTGAACCAGAACATTTGCGCCGCCGTCTACCTCCGTCACCCTGTCGCACGGCGCGGTCTGGCCGAGGTGCCCACACCCTTCACCTACGAGACGAACCAATTGGCGTTCAACTGGTACCTGAGGAGGGGCTGAGCGGTGTATGTAAAGATATGGGCGTTGTGCGTGGTAGTAGTCGTGGTGCAGTAGAGGAGATGGCCGTTGGAAAGATCAGACGGCAGTGTACAACAGGACATGGATCCCCAAAACTTGTAGGACTGCATGTAAAAAGGTGTAGACGTAGTCGTCTATGTACATCATCAATTGAAGAGAAATCAAGCATATTATTATACAACTACATTATGCACTGATTTCAGACTTTGATGGAGTAAGGGGCTTATTGCCTCAACGCCCATCCATCCCTGACATATCATACTATATATCCCTTTCGGGGCACCAGTCACACGAAAAGAACCATGATCTATAAATCGACGACTAGTAATCGAGTTCAGACCTATTGCTGAGAGGAAACACTTCACAGGAGTAGGCACTTTGGACAAGGTCTAGGGAATCATCATTTCGAAGCACTGTAACTAAGCTGACAAAGAGAAGCAATGACTCCTCGTTCCTTTCGCGTCTTTCCCTCCTTAATCTGCATCAAGCCCCCTGCGTGACTGCTTCGTAAAGGCTTTTGATGATGCTGGGATTCCGTTAAGTGATTAGATGAGGGTGTGTGATTAAAAGAGGTCCAGAAAAAGGGGGTGATAAGAAAGAACATGAAGAGAATCGACAAAGAGGCGCGGTGTGCTGGTATTGTATGGGCATCATTGGTACTTAGACATGGGTCGTGGAAAGAAGAATGCGAGCAACGTGTGGCGTCAAGAGACCAAAGAAGGAGGCATCTTAACGGAGTGAGAAGCCCTTCCGCTTGCCTTCCTTCTCGATGGGCCGGCCGCTCTCGACTCGTTGCTTCTTCTCCTCGAGCTCCATGCGTTGGCGCTCCAATTGCTCCTTCATCTCTCTGTGGCGGGAGTAGAGCTCCTCTTCGCTCTGCTTCAGCTTGCTCTCCTTCTCGGCAACCTTTTGCTGGAAGACCATCTTCATCTCGGCCTCCATCTTGGCAAGCTTCTGCTCGTGCAGGGCGCGCTCCTCCTCCTGCTTGACAGCGGGGTTGACCTCCTTGAAAACGCTGGGGTCTTGCGACACGCCCATGCCAATGAGCTTGTCGGTACGGTAGTTCTCGTACAGGCTGTTGTTGGTGTGCTCCTTGAGCTCCTCCATGTGCGTCCGAATGAGCATCTGGCGGAGCTTGACAAAGTCGCAGTGCTCCTCGTTGTCGACCTCGATGACACCCCAGGGGTAGCTACGTCCGCGGACCTTGCGGCCGTCGGCGTTGGTGATCTCGTTAGTCGCACCAACGACGGCGAAGGGAACCTTTGACATGATCTCGTTGTTCTCGGCGATGGTCTCCTCATCGTCAAGCTCGTAGCGCGGGCCCTCGAAGATTTGGATACCGTGGTGCTTGATGTCGGAGAGGATCTGGAAGGATTTAGTGGCTGACACGAATTACTGTACAAACTTTACTTACTCTGGACTTGAAGTTGGCAATCTCCTCGTCGGTCAGGGTATCGGCCTTGGCGATGACGGGAATCAAATTGACCTTGGTGTGAAGGCGGCGCATGACCTCGATGTCAAGGGGCTTGAGGGAGTGACCAGTGGGCTGGATAAAGAACACGCAGGCGTGGATACGGTTGTCGACGATGTTCATGCGGTTGACCTTGTTCTCGGCGTCGAGGTAGGCGTCGTAACGCTGCTCAATGTTGTCGACAATCGGGCGCCAGGACTCATCGTTGTTGACGAAGTCGCCGAATCCAGGGGTGTCGACCACGGTCAAGCGAAGGCGGACGCCAGCCTCCTCGATGTCGGCGCTGATGGACTGAATGGTAACCGTCTTCGGGATGATGTCCAAGCTAGGGCCCTTGCGCTCCTTGGGAGGGTAGAGAGAAGTGTTGAAGAGAGTGTTGACTAGGGTCGACTTTCCGAGTCCAGATTCACCTGGGTTGAACATTGTTAACGGATATTCCACGTCATGGAAGCAAACGGTAAAATAACATACCAACAACCATCACGTTGAAGTTGAAGCCCTTGCGGACACTCTTGCGGTGCCATTGGTTAGGCAGGTTGGCAAAGCCGACATAGCCAGTAAGCTTGCGGCGAACAATGTTCCTAAGATCACTGGAAGGAGCCGAAGGGGCACCGCCAGCTTGGTAGGAGTCAGATGAGGGCTCTTCGACAGGGGGCGAAGTGGGCGCCGAGGGCGGCGGGGAGGTAGCAGGAGAACCTTCGTCAGCTGCGTACATGTCAGTGATGATTCTTCTCCAGAGATTGAAATTTGGCAAATCGGCAAGGCAGTGGCGAGAACAAGATGATCTGGGCTGTCCAATTTCGAGATGCGAAGGGGTATGCCGTCTTTCGTTTCTTGCCCGACTGTTGTCCCCCACCGACACGTCGCTGGGCTATGCTATCGAGTGCTGGGAGCCAGGGAAAGCACTCAAGATATATTCAGAAGAGCGTCGAGCGAGAGTGAATGGCTGGTTATTTGGGAATGGTCGTGTACAGTTTCCCGCGTAGCAGATGGTCGTTACGGTCTGATCCTCGTATTGCCTTGCCGGTCCTGGTTCGTGGATCATGAGATTTCGAGCTGCTTACCCATTGCGAATATCGGGGGAGTTGTCTTGGAGATGTTTGTCTCAAGAAAAATATCAGGATCTAAAGAATAGAAAGGATGTGTTAGCTTGGTTGTGATGTTAGGCAGAATACTGCTGGAAAGGAGGAAAAGGCTGGCCCAGGAGATGGGACGACGCAAGTGGTGATGGGGTTGTGGTGTTGCGCAATGGCAAGATGATGCCAGCTGGCTGAGTGAAGGAGAGAAAGGGAGTAGTTGTTTGGCCGGTTTGTTTCCTCGGCCGAATCTTGGACGATAGGAGAAGTATGGGAAGAGAGACGAGGGAAGATTCACATACCTGGACGTCTACAAAGCAGTCGCGTGTCAAGGAGCGTCGCAGATGGGTAACGAACGATAGAAGAGGAGAAAAGTGGTTGTGAGAGTCTGGCGACAGACAATTGGACCTCTCGGTACCGAAAGAGGAGATGGCGAAATGCTCGAGGGCAAAGTTGATGATGGGGCCGAAGAGAAGAATCACAACCTCAAGGGAGAGAAAGGTGTGGTGTGGTAGTTACGAAGTAAGGTAGAGAAGGAGAGGTGTAGGGTGAGGTAGGTAGTAGGTTCCTCGATGAACGTACGTTTTGGGGGTGGGAAGGGGAAATTTAGGGTGCAACGGGGACAAGAAAGATTTGGCTGTGTGACCCCGTTTCCTGACGACGGTCGGTGCTCCCTTTACGGTTCACCTCAGGAAAAACGTACCGTACCACTCTTTTCAAGCAGCGCGTTACATTCTGCTTGCCTGCTCTCTCCCTACGCTCAGTATTAGGTACCTAGGTAGGGACACTACGCATACAAAGTACACGTACGGCTACAGAGGACAGCCACTGGGAAGGGATGGAACCTGGGAACCGAGGGTGCTGCTTGCCCGCCGCTACGAGGTGCAGATACAGGGGACCAGCATGCCTGATGGGGGACGGAAGATGGTGTTGGGCCTACGGAGTACTGGGCCACGGTGCATGATGGACGGGGAAGAAGCACGTTGCTGTCCCCTTCCTCTCCAAGCAAAAGGGGGTTGAGGTGGACTAATCCCGGTTGGGCTAGATTGGTTTGGGTGGATCCCGAGTAAGGGTGGTGGATGGAGCAGGAGAATTAGAGACCGGGGTCGCCCTTAACGGCGCGACGTGATTGGTCATGGGACGGTGGTCGTAATGAAGCATCAGAAAAAAAAAACCGCCAAAAGGAGCATCTGGAGATTGGGGACAGGAACGACAGACATTGAAATTCAACACAGACAAGGTAAGATTTGCACTACTTATTTTTATTCTTTCTGGCTGTCAGTGTCTGTATCTATCCAGTCCCTGTCCCGCTGTTCAAAAGCCTCATCATCTTTGTCAGGCTGGACTACCTCAAGTATCACTTTCCATCTCAAAAGCCACAGCACAGAGAGGACCCCTTGTTCCTGCCCGACGCTTGGGCGATTTACGATGATTTTCCAACTGGCATCTTCTCCACTCAGAAACAAAGTAGAGTGCCAGCTGTTTGCCGGCCAGGCCACGGGGACAGCACGGAAGGAGAAACAACCTGGGGCTGTGTTTGAGCACCGCTACCTCGCATCCAGCACACAGTATTCAATGTGAACACTTGAAGGGGTCAACTATCCACCCATGCCCAAAGGCCAAGGAAAGTCCACGTGAGATGATTGCATCACGACCTTGACAGGTGTCCCGAGGAAATGAAACAAGTTGAGTTTTTTGCCGTCCCGGACTGTTGGCCTTGTCTGGATTCCCGCGTGCTTGTGCGATAAGGTACTGTCAACAATGCACGCAAGCTGCAAAGTGCTTGCGTACTCGGCTTCCTTTCTCCAAAAAAGTCAAAACTTGGGACGAATATGAGACTGGCAGGTATTACTTAACCATGTTGTACTTGAGCAGATCCTATCCCTACGCAGCGATTGTGTGTGCCACGGCCTGCAGAACGATATTACTGTTGCGGTACGGAGTACAGATTATAGCAGCAAGCAGCAGTCTCAAGCTCTGGTTAGGTGTTCGTGACCGATCTGATTGCATTGAAGGCCGGGAAAGCAGGAATCCGACCTCCAATTTCCACGTCTCATCCATGATCCATGGGATGAAGAAAGGCACGCCCGTGGCCCAACAGCGCCTGTGCCCAGACAGCGGAACCAGAGACAGCGCCAAAGCCAGTATCAGTCAGTAATAATAACGGAGCCACCAGGAACCAGCACGGCCTGGCAAAAAAGGCATGGGCCACCGTGGATCCCGCCGTGTGAGGATGGACTGAGATGGAATGGGGCCAAATGGGAAATGGGAGGAAGCCATCCACCCATTCTTGTCTATGGCATCCTGGTCACAATTCAGACCTGGACACGCTGGGGCAGATGAACAACTTGCGCCTCAGGCACACACGGCACAATCCAAATTTGGGCGACCCCCAATCTCATTCTCAGATACGTATGTACTTGGGTACTTAAGGCCCACCCGGCCCTCAAGGAACGGGAAAAAAGACGTTCCGACACACGGGCCGTCTTCTGACACTGACTTCACAGGCTTCACCCCAGCTTCTCCCTTGCCTTCTGCTATGCCCTGCTGTCGCTGCAGGCTTCACACCCCCTTCATCCTCTTGGCCACTTTTACCTGCAGCGAGACCCCGTGGACCTGCAGGAGTAGTCCCTGGACCCGGGCCACACCTGATGGCCCTCTCTTTACGACTCTTTCGCTCGTTTCCCCCCGGGACTTGCCAGTCACTTGTCCCGAAGAAACCTAGAGCAACACACCCCATCGTCTGCCGAAAGGTGCCCCGGCTGCTATACTACATTAGCTGCGTTCTCTTCAGCCACTTCGAAGCATCCACATCACCGCCCACGGCCTCTTCATGAATCTGTCCATCCAGAGGGTGTCATTCGGCCACAGTTGCAGGTACGAGGTCGCGCTGGAGGGGGTTAAAGAATACTTCGTGGCCAAATAGCTGTCGACGGCCAATCGTGCCTATGGCATGCCGAAAAAGAAGCGGACCGACCACCTACCATGGAGACTATGCAAGCTGCGTCACCACCTCATCAGCTATGGTCCAACACGTCGCGGGATTGCTCGACCAGTGAAGCGACAAGTTTGCAGTGTGGCATGTTGAATTTTTGCTATTCAGCCACCCAACCAAGATAAGGCACGGGATGCAGGTCTGGCAGCCAGCCTTGCCGTGTCTCGGGTCTGACTTGTCTTGCCCCCAAACTCCCTGCGTCGGACAAATCGCTGATCTGCCTCACGCAGATCCTGCAGCAAAAACCAGACGGTGGCAGAGAGAGGCAAACGTGGGAAGATGATTTTAAGGCACAGAAACCGCCGGCAAACACCATTGACGCCCGCCACTTCAATTTGCCGGACCAAGCCACACTTCCCAATATCTCCTACGCTGTTAACAGCAGACCAGGAGGGCGTTCCGCCTCCTTATTGTCGAGTCGGATAACCCACCTCTTGCACTTGTGAGGCATTCTCCTCGTCGCTCTGAACTTGGCGGTGCTTTCATGGTAACTTCGATATCATGAAGTGACGCCTCGCCTTGCGTTCGGAACCTCTGCAGCCCCAAGTCGAGCTAGCAGAATCGCCGAATCCCATGGCCGTAACTTATAGACGCATCAGAGGCGTGACGTGAATTTCGACATAAGTCGCAAGAAAGCTCTGCCTTGATTCTAGAGGTCTTAACCCGTGGGATGCCGCATCTCGGCCTCCGAGAACAGCGATCTCTTGTCAATCCAGAACGAAAGGGTAGTTTTTGACCAGGGCTTTTCTCTGGCGTAAAATCTTCGCTTGCAAAACTTGAAATAGATCAGTCTACAGCTGCAAGAACTTCAAGGAGACATGGATGTAAGATTTGACGTCCTTCCCCGTTCATGGAGTTCCGGCCCCGAAGTGAAATAGCCGGCTCTCAAACACCCGCATTTGTGGGGCTCTGCCCCAATACCTTTGATGCGTGCTCCGCCTCGGTCCAAGTTCAATACGCCTGTCACCAAGACTTGAGCATCTCTCACCGAGCAATAAGGTGAATATGATTCTTGGCAATCACATGGATATCATCTGTGATTCCACAACACAATATCGTGTTCTAGCTATTACTCTAGTGAGAGGATAAGTCATCGAACCAAGTAAGAGATGTGTAACTCCATCGGCAAGGGTTCGAGACATGCCTTGGTCTGGCACAGTCACTGGAACAATTTGTGTCAATGCCAGGTCACGTCTCAAGTGACCGTTTACATTGTCTCTACACCTCCTCCTCGATGTGAAGGACACCCAAGCTGGACGCGTTGTGTAGCAAGATATCTATGGCCCGCTCTGACTGGTAGGCATTAGACAGAGAGATGGTTCGGAACGTCTATACTATACTATGTAGAGATTTCTCTCAGGAGTATGTAGTCCTTTGTAATACCATTTTTGCGTTGTCGGGTCTGGGCATACTCACTCACCCAGCAGAGGTTATAGTCTAGGAATCTGCACCCTAATCCACGATTCCTCCTACCTGTCATAGAGCTTCTAGTCAAAGTTACGGTGAACAATTCTTGTCCCTTCACCCAATGCCGCTATTCCAACAGTCAATCTTCCGAAGTGTCACGCCGACTTCCCCTAGCAGTTGACATCGTTCAGAGAACCGCTTGAGACCTTTGGTCTTCGAGGAGATTGGACCCTCGCATGATATCCAGTCTAATAGTGTGCATGGTAGACTGAGGTGTTCAAGTTGCGTTCATAAATACATACGACGGTCATTGGCTTGCATAAATCCCGGGTTCGTATATAGATCTAATGCCTAGAGCAAAGGCAAGGCGAGGTGCAGAAGTTGAGCGATTCCCTTGACCATAGTGATCCAGGTCATCATGAAGATGAGATGCTGCCGCAAAGAGTCGGTAGTGGCTCATGGGTGCCGCGACAGATGGATTGCGATCTATCAGCAAAGGGTGGTCTACCCAGGATTCATCAAAACAACCGATCGGTTTGAAACAGCCTGTATCTCCGTGAGGTTCTTACTGTTGAGTCTTGCGGCACAGACACGGCTTGGGATTACGTAGATTCCCATCAGTCAGTCTCCATGTTTGCAGCAGTTGCATACCTGGGTGGGAACTGTTTAGTGATAATGTACTCGAAGCAACATACATGACGTTGATGATCCCATTGCTGATAAAAATTCGTGATGCTGATTAGATATGGCGCAAGCTTCATTTTTCGAACGTTGGCCCATTCATTTGAAGAGTCGAAGTTATGTCACAAGATTGTAAGCCATCATGAGTCGAACTATCGGACCACGACGTCCGGACTTAAGGGTTAGGTTTGGCGTCTTTGATCGACAAGATTCATCTTGGCATATGGCTTGGATGAACTCCTTCAATAGAGTTGTGAGATTCTCTCAAACTTGTGGCTGACGACAACAGCCCAGTTCAGACTTCAATCTCTAAGAAAAGCAGACATTCAAACGAGCAGTGGCATCATTCTTGAGCCGGGTCGTAAGAAATTATCCCGAACTGCTAGAAGATTCTCCATGGCGTCCTCCAACCGATCATCAGTGTGATGGAGTCGTCTGAAGAGGCTCCGAGGTTCTAGACTCACCCGAACGATGAGCCGTGACACTACAGACATGTCATCGTCACATGGGAAGCGGCAGAGGCCGGGTGGGCCAAGGGAAAACCTGGCGCCACAGAGTGGCCAGAGCGGCGGCCGGGTCCACCAGTTCAATTGGCGAATGAACCCGCCCGGAGCTTTCTCAACGGACGGTGGAGATTTAGGGGCATAGAAAGGTACTTTCTTCAGCGATATATTTACGCCAAGATAAGAGTATCGGTCTAACTCACCGATGGAGGCCCCCTTGCAGTTCCCTGCTTGAGATCCACCAATCCCAATCGTGCCTCAATGATGTCAGGAGCAGACCAGGGTCGGGAAAGAGCGAGAGAGAAAGTTGTTGAGCTAAGCTCGCTGTCATTGCCTCGCGCTTTGCGCTTAATTCATCTTCGGTGCTCTTTCCCCGGAGTAGCCGCGGCCATCTTGATCTCTAGTTTTTCTCTTCTCCTTCTCATCCGTAGCACCGGACAGTTTAGTTGTTGGATCGAAAATGAAGACCACGAATTTGCCGGAACCGTAAAACCGTCGAGATTCCTGAGCAAGTTAGGACGATAGCAATCACCACCAACACCACCAATATCCCACTCTACGCCACGACACCACACCCAATTCACAACTGATCAACGTTAGAATAACCAACACCACCGTTCATTTCTGGCTCATCCAGCTAGTCATGTCCCACGACTTCAGCCGCCTAATATCGCCAAGATGAGATTATTCGCGCCGTATTCCCGCGACGCCATGCGCCGGGGTGCGAGATCCTTTCACCACAGCGTGACTGTCGGCCGCATTAGAACTCACGGCCTCCTTGTTCACAGGAGGCCTACGCTGTCCCGTCAGTCGCGGCACGGCTTCTTTACGGCGAGGGAGAAGGTCCCGCCCAAGAAGACGTCGATTCCGGTCGCCATCTTTGCCGTCGGCCTGGTGATTTGGGCGCTCTACCCGTCTGATGAGTTTGAGCGGTTATCCCTGGCTGAGAATGAGAGGAGGAAGGGAGTCCGCAGCAATGCGGCAAGCACAAAGTCTGATCAGGCGGCGTGGTACAACTTTGCCCTCAAGTTTGAGACCTTGTCCGACTCTGCCGACGTCGAATGGACTGCCGACAAGATTGTTGGGTTCATCCTACCGGAATGGTCCAGGTTGGTCCCCGGATACATCCGGAAGCTCCAGAGAGAGGTGGGTTTTGCTGAATATATTGAACAATTACTATCGACTAACACCATTAGCTATCCATGGCACCTGGATCTCTGGCAGATGAGATTTGGCGAGAAGCCCATGACCCCTTTATTAACCCCGAAGTGCAATATTCCGCCAAGGTCAGGGTCTCCAATGATCTATGTGATGAGGAAAAAGAGTTCCTGGCAAGGCGGAAGCGAGTCACTACCATGGCGTTAGCCAAGTACCTCGACATCGACGAGAGGGATGTTCATCCGGACGATGTCCCTACCATTGCCATGTGCGGCTCCGGAGGTGGTTTGAGGGCCCTTGTTGCCGGCACCGGTTCTATGCTCGCCGCAGACGAAGATGGGCTGTTCGACTGTGTCACGTACACTTCTGGTGTAAGCGGTTCATGTTGGCTGCAGGCCCTCTACCACTCTTCCATCTCAGAGGGCAGTCTTCCCAAGGTTCTGCAGCACCTCAAGGCCCGCGCTGGCATCCACATCGCCTATCCGCCCGTGGCATTCCAGACTCTTCTTTCAGCACCGACGAGCAAGTATCTCCTTAGTGGTCTTGTCGAGAAGCTCAAGGGCGACCCGCGCGCGGACTTTGGGCTGGTTGACGTCTACGGCCTTCTGTTGGCGACGAGATTCTTGGTTCCCAAAGGCGAGCTGGAAGTGAGCGATCGGGATTTCAAGCTGTCCAACCAACGAGAGTACATCAAATATGGCCAGAATCCGCTACCCATTTACACGGCCGTCCGACACGAGATCCCCGATGTCGACATTGACGGAAGCGGGACAGTGCCGTCCACCTCGGACGCGGCGAAAGAAGTCGCCAAGAAGGAAGCCTGGTTCCAGTGGTTCGAGATCACGCCATACGAGTTCTTTTGTGAGGAGTTCTCCGCCGGCATACCGACTTGGGCCATGGGCCGACGCTTCAAGAACGGCGTCGACGTGCCTCCCGAGGAAGGCTTCCATCTCCCAGAGACCCGCATGCCGTTCCTACTCGGCGTCTTTGGGAGCGCTTTCTGCGCGACCCTGAGCCACTATTACAATGAGATCAAACCCCTCGTGCAGAGCCTTGCTGGGTTCGGCGCCCTGGACGGCATGATCTCGGGCTACAACGAGGACCTCAGCAAGGTCCATCCAATCGATCCCGGCACCGTCGCAAACTTTGCCTACGGTATGGAAGACAAGCTGCCCAAGACAGCCCCGAAAAGCACCTACAACACCGAATACATCCAGCTCATGGACGCCGGCATGTCCAACAACCTCCCCATCTACCCGCTCCTCCGCCCCGGCCGCGACGTCGATGTCGTCGTCGCCTTTGACGCCTCCGCAGACATCAAGACGGACAACTGGCTCGCCGTCGCCGACGGCTACGCCCGCCAGCGCGGCATCAAAGGCTGGCCCGTCGGCGTCGGTTGGCCCAAGGCAAGCGAGTCCCCGAAAGAGGTTCGCGATGAGCTCTCGGAAGCCCAGGCCGCGTCCGCGCAGGAGGCGAACCAGAAGCTCCGCGAGGCTAAGGTGCACCAGCGCGAGCACCAGGACAAAGAGGGCCACCGCAAGCCGGACGAGGACACGAAGAGCGGGCAGGCGGCCAAGTTCACGCCCGGCGACGAGGAGTCGGGCGAGCTGGGGTACTGCACCGTCTGGGTCGGCACGACGCAGGAGCGGTCGTCGTCTGAGACGCCGCCGCCGTCCAAGGCGATTACCGAGTCCAACTCGTGGCAGCTCATGGAGCCCGACGCGGGCATCGCCATCATCTACCTGCCGTACCTCGCCAACCCCAAGGCGCCCGGCATCAACCCCGGCACGACGGATTACCTGAGCACGTGGAACTTTGTCTACACGCCTGATCAGATTGAAAAGGTGGCTGCGTTGGCGAGGGCTAATTACGCCGAGGGACGGGAGCAGATTCGCGGGACGGTAAGGGCCGTCTACGAGCGCAAGAAGAAGCTCAGACTGGAGAGGGAGGCGGGGATCAAGAAGGATCGGTACCGGAGCTTGGTGAGGCGAGGAATGGCGCACAAGCTGGGCGAGGGCGACCAGTTTAGTTGAATTGGCGGATTATAGAGTTGCTGGAATGAAGATACCCGAGAAGGTGGAGGACTCCTGATTGAAGGATGGCGTAGGTTAATCATTGGAAGTAGATCCATTGTAATGAAAAGTGTGTTTGTTCCTTTGAAGTGTTTTGCAACCGATTGAAAGTGTCAAATAGGGGTTGATGAAGAGACGGTGAAGTTCAGTAAATGGCCCCGTTTCGAGGAGTGTGTCATTGTTTTTACAAATCTATTCATCTTACAGAGACATGCTTGACCTTCTACATGTCCTTGCTTCAAAATGTACACTGCCCAACAAAAAGGCATCTTGATAAAGTCCGGGATCACCTGTCCCCCGACCCTTTGACAACGTTCTCCGTCGCTTCTCCTCTCTTGCCGCCCTTCTCTTCTCTCCCTCTCCGATGGATGAATTACAGTCGATGCATTTTGCTTTTCGTTTTTCTTCTTTTTGCTTCTTCCCCATTTTGTCCCCAACATATCTTCTTTAGATGATCTCTCCCATGTCAATGTGCGCGGGCTGCCACGGCTTCGCGCCCTCGACCAGCATATCACTCGGCACCCGCACCTTGGCGCCGGGGCTGTAAAGGTACCACGCCTTGAGAACATTCATCGACGCCTGCAGACGCGCAAAATCCAAGCTGGCGCCCGTGCCCTCGCCGAGCTTGTCGCGCCCGCTGTAGATGCCGACGACGTAGACGGGCGTCCTGCTGAGACGGCCCGTCTCGCTCTCGAGTCGCGCGACGGGGGCCTCGAACCCTTCGCGGGCGCAGAGCATCGCCAGCTCGCGCGTGGGCAGCCTGAAGCTGAAGAGCTTCTCGAGCTCGACGCGGCGGCTGAGGATGTGGGCGTCGATGAAGGCGCGCACGGCGTCGCGGCCGGCGTGGGCGTACACGGCGCCCGTGACGGCGCGGACGTGGGCGGCGTAGGCGTCGTTGCGGAGCTTCTCGCGCTGCTCCTTCAGGAGTGCGGGATCATTGGGGTCGGGGTTGGGCTCGAGCGGGTTCCGTCTGGGCTTGTGCAGGACGTCGCCGAACTCGTCGTCGAGGATGACCCGGGACGAGACGGAGCGGCGCCACTTGAACTTGTCGAGCTCGAGGTGCTCCTTGCGGACGTAGCCCCAGCGGCCGTGAACGACGCCGTGGGCCGCGGGGTTCTGGGAGAACTGCAGCAGGCCCGGGTCGACTTCGCCTCCGGGGGCGGCGGCGCTCTCGACACCCCACTGGCTGGCTACGCGGTAGAGCGAGTCGGGGCCGCCGTAGGCGCGCATGGCTTCGTAGAGGATGGCCATGGGGAGGCGCGGGTAGTGGGTGATGAGCCACTCGGAGACGTGGTAGCTGATGAGGGAGCCGCCGACGACGGCGAGGTTGGCATTGTTGAAGTTGGGGTTTGAGTCGGCGGAGGGGTCGACGAGGGTGCGCGCGAGGGACTGGAGGGGTAGCTTCTCGGGGAGGGAGAGGCGGGCGTGGAGGGCGGCGAGCTTGGCCGACTGGAGGGCCTTTTCGGGGGCGGGCGACGGGAGGTTTCTCGACTTCGACTTGACGGGTTGGGCGGTGGTGGTGGTGATGTTGTTGGCTGAGGCGTCGGATGATGCTTCTTCTGCTACTGCTGCCAAGGACGGGGAGGAGGTCGATAGTGTCCGCGCCGGGTTGCTGTTGTGAAGCTGTGTTCTAAAGGGGATGGGCGTCAGGCACGGCGAGGCGTGTGTCCTGGCCTGGGCGTTGAGCAGTTGCCCGGTGCATCTTGATATCCTTAACCTCTTCATCTGGGACGCCATTCGGTGGTCGAGTTTGGGTTGTTGCTGAGCTGTTCGAAAGCCCAGTAACAACGTAAGGAATAGAAAAAGGCAACGAAAGAAAAGGTGTTGTACAATGCGGTCGAGAGCAGTTGGGTGGATGCGGTATTCGCTGGGGGTTGAATCGCAAAGGGGGCAAGGGAAAAATGTTCCACGTCCCGAATTCTCTCGAACAGCGCCGGTCTCCCGTCACGAAAAAGTTTCTGGAGCCGACCGATTGGAAGTCGTGTGAGCTCCAGCATGCTAGGGGGTACCGTGCACGAGCCATGCGAGAAAGTCAGTAGAAGCAGGCGCGGAATATCCGCTCCTCCGCAGCTCCGGGATGGCTCTGGTCCCACTTTTCGGGAGGAATGGATGGCAGCACTTCACTATTCGCGACGTCCAAGGGCAAAAGCTCCAATATCGAGTCGAGGCGGGAAAGCGATTGCCATCACCACACTATCCAACCCCTCATATTGAAAATACAGTCAAAATGGTACGTCAATCCTCAATCAGTTATTCCTGGCCAATTGCTAACTCACGAACAGGGAGGCGGTCCTAAGGTTCCGTAAGTTCTAACCCAGCGCATGTCCTCATAGAATGCGAACCACCCCGATCCTTCGAAAGCAGCTCCTCTAATACCCACGATAGCTACCCCAAGCACGTCTGGTCGCCGGCCGGTGGTTGGTACGCCCAGCCCGCGAACTGGAAGCGTAACACCGCCGTCATCGGTGCCGTTATGGCCGGTGTCGTTGCTGTTATCTGGAAGATCAGTGCCGAGAAGGAGGTGCGCTACGTGATGCCTCAGGAGGGCCGGTTCTTCCCCAGCAGATAGTACGTCCACGTATCCAACGTGTCATTGCGAACAATTGCGCATTAGAGAGAATTCTTGGCTAACACTGCAAAACACAGCTGGTCGAAGCAATTGATCGAGTACGACAGAGAACAGGCCGCGAGGAAGGCCAAGGATACGACGCAGGCGGAGGCGATTCAGAACTCATAAACGACGACTCGGACGGTCGGAAAACTTTTGTACAATGTAAATACGGTACCCCAGGAATTGAGCGCCGCGCGGTAGCGGCAGTTGCGAACACTGGATGACCCTACGATATATTGCTCCGCCCTCAGTGATACATGGATCGTGTTTTCCAGTGAATTGTTGAAAGACCGATTGATGCGGCGGCGTCCAAATTCCTGCGATACAACAAGCTCAATTTCTATGAACCCACGGCCTTGACCAGAGCCATTGGTTTCGCCCAGCAGGAGAACGACGAACCCCTCCATTCAATGGTTGAGAAGCAGATCTCGAGAATGCAGAATTGCCTATGCTCACTTCGACATTCCCGGTCATCAACTTTGAGTTACTCACCTAGAAACTCGAGCATGCCTCAAAGCGCCGAGCCGTGAGCAGTGACAGCATAACTGAGCCTTCGGCCAATCACGATGGTCGTAAAGGTAATTCAAGAGTGGGTCTCAACTCCAGATCACGACCATCCCTGGGTATCAGCCCGAAGCGGACCACTCAGACCACGAGGCAAGCGTCTCCAAGACTATCAAAGCACCTATATCCGCGTCTGTATTTCACACAGTTCATCGAAGTCGCTTTTACCGATGCCCCCAACGATGCTGATGATCTCTGTGTTGGGAAAGCCCACCCCAGATTGCCCCTAGATCAAGTATGTCTTGTCCAGAAAACAGACAGGAAGTTAGAGGAAGAACATCGTAACATTCGTCGGATGCCACGATATATCTACCGAAACAATCATAGGCCACCGAGGACCAATGCTGAATACCAGCCTTATCGGACATACTGGCGTTGAAAGACGACAGCCATTTGTTCGAAAAGGAGATTCTGGACATGCATAACGCAGTACTGAGGGCTCGATCCGAAAAACGAACGATGGGCCGCTCCTTTACTATGTTGAGGTGGTTATTCACCTTGCAATCCCTTGCATGGTTCATTCGGGCATATGCAAGCGCGGGAGCAGGGTAACTCCAGAACATCACAGAAAGACGCGGAGTAAAGCCATGTCAAAGGATCGTCTCATTCGTCATTTCATCATTCAGGGGAGATCAGCGGTACCAGGAACAGCTCTGCCCCTCCTCCAAGAAACAGCAACATAAAGAAAGGCATCGGTCCTCCTGACTCTTTCCCCCTTCACCCCAACACGTTTGGTCGGCCGAGCTTAAACTTCCACAGAAGAACTCCATACAACGACCACTCCTGGGCCCCTTAGGGCTCCCATTGATTTTGGCCTGCGGATTTTCGTTGTTCAGCAGCAAAGCTGATGCGTCGGATGAATATGTCAGTAGATTGGACTTTCTCAACTCCAGCTAAGCCAGAGTACACGAAGTGCGTGGAGATGGAATCGTAAGAACAAGAAACAAAAAAGGCAACTTACGCGGAATACTCCCTCCACTGGGCACCCGATGAAGCAGGGCGTCTCGTTGCAGCAGTTGCCCTCTGACGAGTCCTTGAGGAACGCTTGCACCAGCTTGTCGGGAACGTAGAGCGCGGTGATGCCTGATGCCAGGACGGGGAGTATCAAGACTGAAAACTTCATGTTGGTTTTGGTTGTTTGAAGAAGAGTTCAATGCCGGGTGAGGCAAATGGAAGGGATATCTTGATGAGATTTGCTGCTGGATGATGATCTGGGATAATCCGTCGAGGTCAAACACCCAGGAGGTTCGACCCTTTTATATTTTCTCTTTTATTGTGTTTCTATTCTCCCACCTTGCAAATTGTCCTAACTTTCCCCGCTCAGAAAAGATATCTCCAGACGTTGAAATGGTAACATCCTCGGACGGAAGCATCCAACCCCCTCCACGTACGACCTGCCGTGTCGACGATCCACGGAAGTCAACAAGACATGAGTGGTCTCCGTCTGTTTACAACCAAAGAGCCGCGGCCGGGTTCCCGCTGGTGCTACGCTGGTACATCTCTAGATAACAAGTCGGTGTCGAGACTCTTGAATCATTGTTCGGATAGGACGGTCTTTAGCGACGTCTGCATTGCAACATCCGCAGCACCGGCGACACATGTGAAAAGAGGCGGGTGAACCCCGCTCTATCAAGATGTACGTTGCCGTGAACCTACGCTGTCGTGAATCTACAGCCCTCGTAACGGCGTTACTGATACTCTCCATACAATTTCCAAGTAAAAGAGCATCGAAATGTAACCGATTGACTCAGTCCATTTCGCTCTATTGGTTTGGCAGGTTTTATGAGCAAGTATTCAGGCTCACTGCAGCAACTTGGACATCTACAACAGCCTGTTGCGCGACTCTGGGCCCCGTTGCTACGAGGACCGCCCGCGCAAATCAAAGGCTACTGGTCTGTCGCGGCAAGTATGACAACATCGTTGCGAAGAATGGCGACATCTCTCGCCATACCTTTGAGGGATCCCCAGAGCGTATCGCTATGTAATCGATGTACGTTGCGCCTCCCAAGGTTACCTACACAGATGAATCTCTACCTAGCTTACGCATGAATAACTTGTCGTTGGCTCTCAATCTACAATCCCCAAGACGAAACGTCGTGAAATGCTTATCATCCTTCACCCATCTGTTTCCTTCCCACGGTTGTCGATAAACAAAAAAAAGAAAAGAAAAGAAAAGAAAAGAAAAGAAAAGACACGGTAATATGGCGAACGAGTAGCTTTACGCATTTTTATCTGCCCACATACCATAGCTGCTGCTTTCACCTCTTCGTTCGGTACTCGTGATTGAACATCTACAAAAACACCACTTGGTTTATCTCCTCTAGTGACAACTTCTGTCTAAGTAGCAAGATGACTCCTCCGGCATCGGCCTGCAGAAAGCCGTGTAGATCAGAGTATCATTGAAACCAACTAGATTGCGACTGGCACATCGACCCTGGATTCGTGAGACGACTCTTGGATAGGCGCTCGAAACAGAGCAACATGACTGGATGTAATCCCATCTTTCTATGATGCTGTTAGCAACGCCTCTCCATGAGGTACTTCAGAGCTCGGATACCGTAGGGGAGCCAGATTTTAAGGAATTAGCAGGCTCATCAATTTCAGAAACATGAGTTCAATACAATGAGAAACATAGTTTTCAGGTATGGGCATCTTATTGTCTACCTAGCTTGCTCGACACAAAGAAGCAGCTCTAGCGTCCCATCCCTTTCAGGAGGACCTAGATTCTCTCTCGATCTGTCTCAACCACTGCGAAATCTCCATCTCTCCATCCACCATGTTGTTCCCAATCATGCCACTTCAAGGCATCTCAAAAAGAACCAACGAAATCAGCACTCGCGTCTCATCCTGCCAAAATAGGTCGCTCGGCATATTTGCTAAACGACCAAACACAGCCACCAGAGCTGCAAGAAGAAACGAGATGTGTCAAAGAAACGACAAACAACAAGAGTGAGCAATATACATTAAGCACTAGGCGTTTCCCTGCCCCCATCTTCCATGGCCGCCGCTGCAGTCGCGTGGTACAAGATGGGGCCAAGGTAGGTGAATCGAAATCGCGAAACAGTGGGTGTTCAGGCGAGTGTGAAGAAGCGTAAAAAGAAAAGAAAATTGCAAGCCACGACTGAAACCAGGCTGCAAAAAGGGTGTATCAAAAGCGGGTGTCATGAATGAGTGACTTGAAAGGTATAAACGCGTCGTCGGGGTTCGTTTCGCCCCTTGATCGGATTCATCGTCAGAGTCCAGTAGAAGAGGAAATCTCCCCCAAGGTCTTTTTGTAGTAGTTCGCAGAAACGCCGTGCCCGTGCTGTCCAGAATGCATAGTAGACCCTAGTCTATCGCCAAACGAAGATGAATCCCCAGTCTTTGTGCCAAAAGACGTTAAATACGCTGGGAGTCAGTGTATATGAACGCTGCTTTGGTTGTCATTTACACAGCCTGTCCGGGGACGGGCTTGCGACCGACAGGTCCCATCGGTGGGCCTGGGCGGCCCTGGACTGGGGGTCCGTTCATCGGCCCATTCATCGGTCCATTCATGGGGCCGTTCATGGGACCGTTGGGGGGACCATTAGGGTTCATTCGGCTGGGCTGAGGAATTCTGGTAGGTCCCGGGGGGCTTGGCTTGCGACCTCCCATTCCGTTGGGGCTTTGCGGTCGCTGTCCCGGAGGACCCTGGTAGCGAGGACCGGGGGATTGAGGTCGGCCTCCGGGGCCCATAGGTCCATTGCCGGCGGGGGACTGAGGTCGGCCACCACCGTTCATGGGACGAGCTGCGGGCGACTCGGGGCGGGGGTACGGCGGACCGCCCTGAGGGTTCATGGGGCGCTGGCCAGGAGGGAAGTTCGGACCGGGACCGCGGGGAGCACCAGGGCCCATGTGAGGACCACGAGGAGGTCCTTGATTAGGTCCCTGGGCTTGAGGAGGTCTAGGCTTAACCGGGCGAGTGGAGAGGCAGGTGCGCGGTACAACACCCTGCTGGGATCTATCCAAGCGAATGCAGAGCGCCTAGGGCAAAGTCAGCTTACAAACTCATCATTATGGACATTACAACTTACCCAGCCATCATCGTACTCGTGGAGGAGGCGCACAAGCTGGCCAGCTCTCAGCTCCATCTCATCCTCAAGAGTGGGCTTGAAGTCGAGCTGCACGCGGTGAACAGTGGTGTTGGCGGGACCTCCAGCGGCGGCAATGGCAGCAGAGCCAGTGGATCCGTTAGATTGGTGACCAGGGCCGGCAGAGTCGGCGCTGAACGTGGTTCCAGAGGGAGAAGCAGGGATGGTAGACAAGGGTGCAGGAGGCGCGGGCAGAGTCAGGTCCAGTGCCTTGGGACCGTCCTTGCGGGTCGACGCCTTGCGAGCCAGACCTCCAGCGGCGACAGCTCCAGCACCAACTGCCGCAGCACCTGCAGCAACAGACGCATCGTTGGGAGCGGCGTTGGCGGGGATATCACTCACGGCAGTGCCCGGAGCAGGCTCGCCGACGTTGGGAAGAGGCTTCTCGTTGAGGCTTATGGAGCTGACGGACTCCTCGGCGATGGGACCGTTGATTCTCTCGGCTTGAGCACCAAAGGGGTTCGCGGGGTTCGAGCTCTGGTTCGTTGCCGGTCTGTCCCAGGCGCCTTGGCCAGGGTTGCGAAGACCCAGAGCAGCGGCAGCGGGTGCCAGGTTGGCGTTCATGTTGACGGCAGGTCCTCCGGCAGGTCCTCTGCTGGCGCGCTTGTCGAGGTTCAAGTTGGGCAAGAACTGGGTAACGGGGCGCAGGCTGATACGAGGAGCGCGGGGGTTCTGGCTACCAGCGGCAGCAGCGGCGGCTCCAAATCCATGGGTCTTCTCATCCTCGTCGGCCAGACGCTGCTGCTCCATCTGCTTCTTGCGACGGTTGAAGAGGAAGAAGACGAGTAAAAACACGACGAGAACACCGGCCAAAACACCAATAGCAATGCCAGCCTTCGCGGCACCGCTGGTCTCGTTGCTGGTCGACTTGTCCGTGGTTGACGTTGCACTAGGGGAAGCGCTGGAGATGATGCTAGCATTGTCTGCAGTGGCGGCAGTCTTGGTGGTCTTTGCGAACGTGGGCGCGTCTGTGGCAATAGCGAGCGTGGTCTGGATGCTCTCGGTCAAGGGATCCTCGATGACGGTGGGCAGCGACGAGGTAGACGCAGCATCGATGGCGGTGGATGAGCTGTCGGCAGTCTTAATGATGGGGGCGCCGGCCCTGGCAATGGTGGTTTCGGTGGAGTCAACTGTGGTCGATTTCGACCTCGTTGGGAGGGGTGATTGAGCGACAATCAGCTTGGTTGAGGTGGTGCTCGTGGGGGCGGCGACGGCATCATCACCAGTGACGGTCTGGTAGATGGTCTTGATAACGGTCGAGCGGCCTTTCTTCGTATTAGCGCGCCGTGTGGTCGTGACATCATCATCATCATCGTCGTCCTGTCTGATTTTGAGATTACCTCCATTGCTTGTCGTGGCCTCGTCATTGGAGGCAAAGGGATTCAGATCCTTGAATTTGTCGCCAACATTGCTCCAGAAATCGGGGTTGCGAGGCGCGATATGCCTACGGGCGTGGAGGTGGTGATGGTGAGCCATTGCGGCAGTTGCGGGCGTGGGTTAATGGAAATGAGTCAAATCCGACTAGTCCAGCCAGAAGTCGTCGGGATGGTTGAAGATAAGGTCAGGCGTGTGAGGCGCGTAATGAATGATTCGTATCGTGAGTTTCGTGGGTCGAGGCGGGGTATCTGGAAAATGGAGGGAGGATATCTGGCGTGCACGGGAGAGGCTGGTGATGGGAATGCTCAAGGGATCCGGCTCCAGAAGGGAAAAGGTTGTGATGTTCGTGAGGCGATCGTCGAAAGAATGAACCAGCAAGTAGCGAATAGGTCCAAGTCCGACCAGGGAGTCGCGGTGGTCGAGGACTATTGAATTGAGAGAAAGACTGGCTGCCTTGGTGTTGTGGGTTGAAAGTCGAGTGTTGTTGCGCGTACGTATGCGTGCAATTGAACGAATGTGAAGTGGCTCTAGGCCTGGTGGAAGGAGAGTAAAGTGAGAAGGTGGGTGAGGTGAGGTCGTTGTTTTTTGCGAGATCTCACTACCAGCTCACAGTCATTGGACAGTCACAAACCGTCTT